GGCCTAATGAAAGTTTTACTTTTTGTTACAGTACATGTAAATATTTCTCTCATACTGAGCACAGACATGATTATTAAACTAAAATATTGGTACAAATAATCTTTATATTTTATATATAAAATGAAATAATGGTACAATCCTGATATATCTAACTTCAATAGCACACATTTCAAATATAAAGGGTAAATATCAAGCTAACATGACAGGGTTATTGTGTAAGTTTCGATCAAAATGAATTCTAAGTAAACATTTCTAAAATGGGAAAAAAAAAATGTTGGAATTAAAAGATTGTCCAGCAGGTTTTGCTTTTTAAAAAATTTTATTGCAAAAAATTCTTCACTTTTGTTAAATTTGGTTAAATATACACTCCTAATGTACAATCTGGCCAATTTTGGGAAATAAACGATTCTGAATTCCTGATATCTATTATGATCAAAGTAAAAACCAAACTATTGCAACATGATTCCTAACAGACTTCACATGGGAAAAGTTGAGAGAGAATGTTGATTTTTAAAAAATAGTCACTAAAAAAATCTTTGGTTTCATTTCATGTGAACCTATCCAAGAACACAAGAGGCCATAATATACCTGACAGTCTCTAGGTGTCTTTACAAAGCTTAAAAAAAAAGCTGCTGAACACAAGTTTTTGAACAACAGTCATTTGGCAATGCACTAGTCCTTGCAGTTCCATCAAAATGTGTGTATGTAAGTTTTGGAATAAGTGTGTATTTATCTACACACTAAATAACAACTTTTTACAAAAAATACTAAAACTGACATTATTTTATCTTAAAGCTAAATGTGTATTCCTGCCCCTTAATGTTTGGGTACCGATGATTAGATTTACTGGACAAGCCGATCGTTTTTAAAACCCTCTCTCTGTCATAGCCTCGTAAAGATGGTGCAGAATCACCTCGGGTTTGCTTTTTGCTGCTACTGGCACTGCTGCTGCTGCTGCTGCTTCTACGTGAAGCAAGCAGGATGTGAGCATTGCTAGGATAGAGAGGGGAAGTGATATCGTGTGACAAGTGCATATAGACTTCACTCTGAGGGCGCTTCTCCATGGGTAAAAACTTTTTTTGTTGCACATCGATAATATTCTTGCATTGGAAAACAAGCGGCCTGTCATGGGGATTTTTCTTTCCTGACAACACCCGCTCTATCACTTCATTGGGCAATCTTGGTAAGGAATCATCACTGTAATTGGTTCCTGCTGATGATTTTCGTACATGTTGCGGCTTTTCTTGGATCGGTAAAAGCTGTTGTGGTTTACTTTTACTTCTTACTGCATGTGCTTCATTTGGAATGTATTTCCCATCTGTGATAGCCTTGACTGAGGGTTCTCTCCCCACTGGCTGAGCTGTACGTCCATAAGCACCATCCATTGACTGCCGCTGGCTAAACCCATCTTGTTTCACAACACTATTTGGCTGATATAATTTTTCTTTAGTTTTTCCATCACTTTTATCTTTTTTTGAGGTTTTGTCTTTCTTTTTTTTGTTCGATTTGCTTGGAGGTGGAGAGAGTTGTTTCTTTCCCAACCAGTCTTCAAACGCTTGATCAGCCTCATAGCGTCGCTTAACCATATCAGCTGCATTGATTTCTTCCATTTCATCATCATAGTCTCTCTTCATATCCATCAGTTTTTGCATTTCAAATAATTCTTGCTCTTTATCCTGCTTCCACATTTCTGTTGTCAAAATCCTGAAAATGAAAACAATTCTCATTACTCTGATCAAATGAATACAAAAAAAAATCCAACTAAATTTAAACCAAAAGTTAATTTCTGTTGCACACACTCACATGTACAGTACTATCATTGGCAAGTACAATATCTGTTGACTTTAATCTGTGGGACTTGGTAAACTTTTGAAATTAAGCAAAACTGATATTTTCTCTTAATTTTAAAGTTCAATTGAAGCATGCATAATCAACTGGACTCCTTAGACTGGTTGAAATGAACACAGTAACATAGGATTAAAAAGTGGTGCCAGATTCTCACAGAATGTGCACAAACTTTCCTAAGTTTCTTTTTTATCGATAAATTTCCCATCAATGTTACCGGTAGCGTTGAAAATTCCCTGACGGTTACAATCAATGAGTAATGCAGTTGCCAAGTAAGCAAACATGTTATTATTAGTTACTGTTGTTACACCACTATTGTTATATGAAAATAATAGGACCACCACAGACTCCTGTACTGGGGCTATACTATAACAGGTGTGCTTTTCTAATGGACATGGGAAACATTTCAACTGATTGTTTAAAATAATACAAGGCATTCACATTCACCAGACACAACTTCAACAAATTTAACACCCTAGCTGTAATTGTTTTCAGTGAATTTTCTTTTATTGTCATGCCATTACTGTAGAGTGCTTAATTTTTAGCTGGGATTTAATTATTTTCACTAGAAACAACAATTTGATGTACTGGCACTGTGAAACATTTGAACATGAATTGCACTGCAAACAAAATCTGGTTCACTTCGGTGTCTGATGTTAATGTATAAAAATTCATTTATAGAAACGATGACTTGTGAGAGTGGTCTACCATTTTATTATATTTGTAGAATGTATATAGAACTAGTTTCTGTTTTCATTGACTTAACCTAAGGCAAACAAAAAAGTATTTATTTATTTTGAACAGAAAGCCATAATATGTTAGCTGATTTGCAATGTAATAACAAACAAGATTCTGTATTTTGTGAGAGTAATTGAGAATGTCTTTACCTGGCACACTCTCTGTTACCCCATAGCTTAGCATAGTCTACCGGCAAATGACCCTTGACATCTTTAGTGTCAATCAATCCACCAGCGTTGATTACAGCCTCCAAGCATTTCACTGTGCCCTCAATAGCAGCCTGGTGAGCAGGAGTGAGATCATCATCATTGAAACTGTGTAAAGAAATGCAGTATCTTGAGTCTTGTGTGCAAATAAGGACAAAAGTATGTAGACTACCAAAAGCTAATAATAAAATACTGTAATATCTTTGGAAGTGATTTTATTATAGAAAGATATTCTTCACAATCTGATTAAATACAGTGACTCAAACTACATCTATGCAAGTCGCATGCAGGCAGCTTCTCTCTGACTCACTGAAATTTGTTTTAGATCTGTAACAGGGTAATTTTGTATTCATCTGCACTTCTAAATAGATTAAATACAGTATTACTTTAAGAAATGGTTTTAATGGTTGACACTTTAGTGTCGATGTAAACTATAAACTATTTGTTACTGTGGGCTGCTGATCTCTATTAACCTGTACAATATATAACCTTAAGGAACATGGATAATAAAACATGTCCACAATAACATAATTGTTCTTTCATGGAGGAAGGGGGTTATATGTCGCACACCAACCATTATTTACTCATGTGAAGTATACTGAAAAAAATACTCTAGTAGGTGGGAATAATACCTCCTTAATTTTCCCCACCAAAATGTGCAATATTATGCTATTTCGGAATAGCTCTCAATGTTTAAATTTTTAGCTATAGCCTCATTTGCATACCGGTCTTCATCATGAGAGACAGACGCAATTAACTGTTTCACGCCTTGTCTTCGCTAGCTAGGCTTTGTGGCTGCAGTTTAATTTTGAACATTACTGTGCTTTTAACTTTTTTTGTGTGATTTATTCATCTGTACCTATAATTGCGTTAAACGTAGTGCTGTGTTATTGTAGTACAAGTGGTGAACAATAAAAAGCCAAAACCAAGCTTTATTAATGAAAGTTTTATTTGTGATTTGTGTATGGGGGTGCCAGTGTAGGAATTTAAATGTATTTTTCAATAATTTTGGTAATATTTTTTTACTAGAGGTCTAACGTTAATAGATTTCTTTTAAAAAATGCAAAAAAAGTAGATTTTATTTTGTGAAAAAAGGTGACTTATATGCTCAAAGGATTAAAAACCTCAAACAGTGATTGATACAATGTCTGTTTTTCAATAATTTATATGTTCACAAATTTCAGTTACCATAAAGTTGCTGCCACACATACATATTTATATTTTAAAGTGCACTCTACGAGAACTCTATAAGCGTCTTATGGGGTCTTTGGACTATTATAATGTGATATACCCGGTATATCTGATGGTATCATGAATATGTGCAGATTGTGAGATTTATGTAACTTAAAAAAAAAAATAGTTTATTTTCGCTGAAGGGATAGCTCAGTGAAAGTAAAATCCAGCGAGTATACCTTTTTTCTTACATGTCACATTCAACTCGTCAAAAATCAGTGAAAATAAATTTCATACGAAACAGTCTAAAAGTCTTTTCAGTGAAAATTAACTCCATCTAAAATGAAGTACTGTGGAATACTTTATTTTCGCTGGAATTAATTTTCGCTGAAAAGGCTTTTTGGGCGTTTTGCTTGGAATTTATTTTCACTGA